TTAATTGGCCATAATCTTATCTGAACTAATGTTTCAGACCAGGCTGACCCACATAAATGGGAAACAAAACCTACTGGACAAGGTCTCAAATCCTACCAATATCAAGACATATGGGTTTACAATAACAGCACTAGGTTAATACCTTAGTATCTTTTTTTCAGTATTAATATGATTTTTAAAAAGCTGAAAAAGCACACAATTTGAGGCAAGAAATTATTTTACAAAGTAGAAACATAGGTGATTGTAAATAGGATATAAGACCTAAATATGCTGGAGGGTAGGGCTAGGATTCAGAACAACCTAGACAAATTGGAGGATTGAGACAAAGGAATCTCATGAGGTTCAACAAAGATACGTGCAAAGTTCTGCACTTAGGATGGAACAATCCCATGCACCAGTCCAGCCTGGGGCTGACTGGCTGGGCAGGAGCTCTGCAGAAAAGGAGCTGGGGATTACAGTGTACAATAAGATGAATACGAGCCAGCAGTGTGCCCTTGTTGCCAAGAAGGCTAATGGCATACAGGGCTACATTGATAGGTGTGTTGCCAGCAGTTCAAGGGAAGTGATTTTTCCTCTTTATTCAGCATTGGCAAGGCCACATCTGGAGTACTGTGTCTAGTTTTGGGCACCCCAGTACAAAAACGATGTGGATAAATTAGAGAAAGTCCAGGGGATGGCAACAAAAATGGTGAGGGGGTGGGGGACATGACTTGAGGACAGGCTGAGGGAACTGTGCTTGTTTAGTCCAGAGAAGAGAAGACTGAGAGGGGATTTAATAGCAGCCTTCAACTACCTGAAGGGGGTTCAAAAGACGATGGAGCGAGACTGTTCTCAGTGGTGGCAGATGACAGAACAAGGAGCAACAGTCTCAAGCTGCAGCAAGGGAAGTTTAGGTTACATATTAGGAAGAATTTTCTCACTAGGAGGGTAGTAAAACACTGGAAGAGGTTACCCAGAGACACTCCATCCTTTGAGGTTTTTAAGACCCAGCTAGACAAAGCCTTGGCTGGGATGATCTAGTTGGGGATGGTCCTGCCTTGAGCAGGGGGTTGGACTAGATGACCTCCTGAGGTCCCTTCCAACCCTAATTTTCTATGATTTTATGACTTTTCACATGTCACAAATTAAGAGCTCAGCCAACATTAGTAGCAGTTTATGTCAAACAATCTATGGTGGTCTTGGCTCCAAGTGAACAGCCACTCACTTCATGAAGTCTACCAGGCTGTTAAACTACAAGTTTCCAAGTAAACTAACTCGACAGGTGAAAGAGTAGGCAGAATTCAGGCTTATTCACCAAGGCAGCATGGAGAATCTATTGCCACCATTTCTGCCACACCTCTTCTGTGTCTACAAACTGGACTTTGGAGACTTGGATTATCAACTGATCCCTGCAAACACCTTGCCATAACAACTAATTGGCAGTGTTCCCCTGGATAGATTCTAATCACTTTTCCAGTGACACAGATTAAAAAGAATACAGAATCATTTATATTCTAACAGAGTTATGCAACCTTTTAGGTTGGGTTGGACAACCTGTGGCACACACGCCACAACCAGCCTGGGCAGCCTCTGTATATGGCATGCAGCAGATGAGGGAAGAGGCAGGCAGCACTGGACAGATAGGGCAGGAAGCCCAAAGCAGAGCAACAGATAAAAAGTAAACAGATAGAAAGTAGAGCACAGGGTAGAAAGCAGAGCAGCAGATCAGACAGGGAAAAGAATCAGAATGGCAATCATGGGTCTTAATTTGTGGCAGTCCTGTCAAAAAAGCTGGCTTGGTCATTAAGGGAAAAAGAACAGAAATTTAACTCTGAGTAGGTTTCTTCTTTTTTTTTTTCCCTGCAGACTCGCACCCTTTGTGCTGGGAGATCTTGAGAACTTACACAAGGCTTCTGCTCACCACAGACTTTTTCTCAATCGAGTTCTCTGCTGCTGAGTGAAGGTCCTCCCTTCAATGTCAGGCAAGCTCTCCAACTTTTGACCTGCAAAAGATCCGATATCCCATTTATAACCAATCACCACCTACATTTCCAGTTCCTCAAATGAAGGTGCCATCCAGCATGCTGCGGCAGCTTTTTTAAAAATCCTTTTCATGTAGATAGCAAATAACTCCAGGCACTGCCCCTGATCAATGACGGCATTTCAGGCAAAGGTCCCCAGGCACTAGGTAGGATGAACCCTACTCACTGGGATCAGAAGGAGGAAATGGGAGAGTGGGTGGCACCCCTCCTACTCTTGGCTTAGCAGAGCAAAACTTTGGACACTTGCCTGAAGAACAGTCCCTTTCTTGGAAATAGCCTTTAAAAAGCAACATTCACAGAAGTTCTCGGCTGAAATGGACCTTATGTAATCACTGGGTTCACATCAAGTTAGGACAATACCTAGAGATGGTGAGGAAACATGTTCTCCCAGGAATTACACAAGCAAAAATTAATTTTGTTTTTTGTCTTTTGTTGTTTGTAAATACAAAATTGATTTTTTGGAAAATAATCCTCAATCCATGTTTCCATCGCGAGTAGGGTTACCAACTCTGTTTGAATCTATCCCAGATTTCCGGAACACCAGCATGCCCGTGACACACAACACAAACGTGCCCATGTGCTAGTGTACATCAGTTCCGGATGATGGCGTGTAGACTTTACGTGAGGATGGCACATGCACATCACTATTACATTTTAAAAGCCCAGTGGGCTACTGTATAAGTCAGATTCAACATTTAATACGTATTTGTAATGAATGCCACCTATCATTTCTCTCCCGGGTGACTCTCAGCAGTCTCCTGGAGATTTATCTCTCATTCCTGGAGACTCCAGGGCAATCCTGGAGGGTTAGCAGCCCTGATCAAGAGAGACTCTGCTGCTTCCCAGCTGGCATAGGAAGCACTGGCACTTAACAGGACCCAGCTCCCAGGAAGGGAAAACGGAAAAATGGGAAAGAAGAAGATGGGAGGGAAGATTGGGGTGCCCTCAGCCCCAAGGCTGATACCAGGAAGAAATGGTACGAGCTGCCCAGAGCATCAGGTTGGAGCTGTGCCACAGATGCGAAGGGAAGCGCATACATTCCCTTATGGGAAGGTGATGCAGGGCCTTGACGGGCAATAAGGGGTGAGCAGGACGGCACTCTACCCTGCAGCAAGGAGCAGCGTGTGCAGCCCGCCACGGCCCCACTCCGCAACCCTTACCCACCGCGCTCCAGCCGCTTCCCGCCGCGGCCACGTGTCCCCGCGGCACCCACGTGCCGGGGGAGGGGGCGGGGGGGC